GGGGGGGGTGGGGGGTGGTCAGCTACTTTCCGGGTGATTGTTGCTACCGGACGGAATGTGATTTAAGAAAGGATGTTAGTCAAGATATAAAAATGAACTCTCTCAATCTTTAATTATTGGCTAAATCACTTTATTACTTTAAAATCATGGTAAGAGCCAACCCAAATAGTTCTAAGCCCAGCTCATGACTTCTACTTTAGTTATCTGCTATGCTCTAAGACCCTTTCATTTGTAATTTTGCCTTATTATGATATCATCAGTAGGTTCAATATATATATTTATGAAGGAATTGGCAAATAGTTGGAACTGTGAAGTCTAAAAAGAAGGGGTAAAAGACATGGGCAGACTGCTCGTAACTCTGATGTCCTCGTTCCCTCCTTAACTGCCTTTCAGTGCTCTGGATTGAATTGTGTCCCTGCAAAAGATCTCATCATCCTATACCCCAGTACTTGTGAGTGTGACCTTATTTGGAAATAAGGCTCTTTGCAGATGATCGAGTTAGCATGCGGCCATTAGGGTGAGACCTAATCCAATATGACTGTGTCCCTATGAAAAGGAAAACTGCACAGAGACAGCCACATGCACAAAAGAATACAGTAAGAACCAGAAAGGAGAGTTCAGGATCATGCATCTAAAAAGCCAAGGAACAACGAAGACTTGTCAGAAACTACCAGAAGCTAAGAGATAGGCATGGAACAGGTAACCCCTCTTAGGCTTCAGAATGAACCAACCCTGCTGACACCCTGATTTTAGATTTTAGCTTTCAAGAACTTTGAGACAATTCACTGCCATGATTTGAGCCACCATTTGGTGGCACTTGGTTATAGAAGCAACAAATTAACACACATAGCTAGGAGTATAATTCTATGTATTTGACTCTGTTTCTCCTTCCAGATGGCAAACTTCTTAAAGATAGGAACTGTGTCTTATATTGTCTATATTTCTTTATTTCAGAAGTCAAGACTTCTAACTACCTCATTGATAATCTGTGAGAAATGTTTAGGAATGAATGAAAGAGTGAGCAAATCCAGAAGCCAACCTTATTATTAGAAATGTCTCTGGTACAATAGAATTGATGTGATGAAACAAGGGGGCAGAGTGAGCTGGATCTCTGGTCACTGCCTGTTCTTTACATGCAACCTTGGATATAGTTTTCAATATTCCATACCTAGGTTTCCAAAACTTAAATGAGGATATTATTATCCATCCTTGGAGGGTAATTGTGTTGATTAGATAAGATACAATGTGTACAGTGCTTAGAAAATAGTTCCTGAGCCCTGGAAGACTCCAGTAAATAATCTGCTTCCATTAGCTAAATGATGCCCACACCTGGTGGGTAAAATAAAGGTCCTCTGTGTAGCCAGTTAGTGTGGGGCAGAAGCTGTGGGCTTCTCATCAGCCATGCATGGACAGTGATGAAGAAGAGGCAAGTGACGCTGGAGGAAAGAGACAAGCCCATGGAAGGTTGTTAGAAAACCTACAAAAACACAGGAGTCAGAGATGTTTAGCACAGTGGCAAAAATCTCAGTACACCTGAGTGGGCTCTGCAGCCAGTACTACACACCACAGTTGAACACGGTTACATGGTTAATCAAATTTGGATTTTGTTGATCCTGGTTGGATGAAGAAATATTCAACTTTATTCAAAGTGCTCTTAATAAGACAGGGGAAATTAGTAAAATATGTTAGAAAGATTGCCATCAAAACATATTAACAGATTGGCATTAAAATGAGAGTTTTTAGCCACCTAGAAAGTACACATGGGATGCTCATCATTTCTCATCTGTGATTGGTTAGTGTGGTGTGTTGTGTGGCCTCAGCATGAGATTGCACCCTGCAGATGCACGGATAAATGTTGGCATTTATCATGGGCTTGTAGATGATGAACTCCTGAAGAGACTCTCCCACTCTGACCAGGGAGGCTGAGAGATCCTGGAGCTACCATGATGTGCTTGCAAGTCCATGTACATGCTGGCAGATAGGAGGGCTGACTAAATTCCATGGCTGTTCCACACTTTTACTGATATTTTGTATATATGCAACTGCTTTATGATCGTGCAATACAAACTTATTTAAAAGTGCAAATTTATTAAAAAGGTTGAATACATTTTATTTTAGATGTAAATACTGAGATTGTTACATTTTATTTATTAAGATAGCTTACATATTTAGATCTTATTTAGATTTTGATTGATTTAGATTTAAAATTTATTAAAAATACAGATTTGTTAAAAAGGTTTATTAAATTCAAGAAGTTTTTGTCTTTAGGTGTTTATCTTAATCAATGAACAGAGAGATAAGGAGTTTCTGAAAATTGACTTAGAGGTTGGGAGCTCTGTTTTATATAAAATTATCCATATTAGTAATCATAGAAATGGAGCTACTAGATATTGATCCATTCACTTTTTGGGGGTAGTACTGTGTGAGAGGCATCTTACAAGTATTATGTTACATTCACAATTCTAGGATGTAGGAAGTAAAGATTACTCTGTTTTTATGGGTGAGGAAAACGAGGCTCAAAGAGATTAAATGATTTTCCTAAGGTGTCAGCTAGTCTGGAATGAAGGTAGCAGGACTCTTAGGTCCTTGCCACCAAAATACTGGGCAAGGTGGCTGGGTCTTCCTTTGGGGCATGGGGCACTTACTGAAATCATCCAATCTCCCCCCACTGCCATCCTGCTCTGACCCTCTGGAGGACCCCAGCCTGGCTGGGTTCTGGGGAGTAAGGGCCTTTCTTTCAAGTCGGCTGCCCTTCAGATCCTGCCCTCGAAGTCAGTCCTTCTGTGATGCAGGGCACAGCCCAAGTCCTAGGACAGACCTGCTGACTGGTTTAGATTCCTGAACTCCAGTTGAGCTGGAGGGCAGAGAGGAGACAGAGGCAGCCCTCAGGGGCCCAGGGGTGACCGCTCAGCCCTCCAGAATCCCATCCAGGTGTGAGGCAGCACAGCTGGCTAATTAAGCTGAAAGCAGCATTAAGAAGCCCAGAGAGAAAACAGAGACATCTGTTCCCTTCAGGTCCTCATGGGTTCCTTTTTTTTTTCTTTTCGGTGCTGGGGATCAAACCCAGGAGCTTGTACCTGCTAGGCAAGTTCTACCACTGAGCTACACTCCCAGTCCTTTTTATTTTTTGAGACAGGGTCCTGCTAAGTTGCCTAGCTGTTGTTTCTTTGTAAAAATGCCCCCCTCCCATGAAGCCCTGCAGCAGGGCAGTGGGGGCGCAGAGGAGGAGGGGGGACAGGCAGTGGGAGCCGCAGGCTCGGGAGCTGCGCTTTATACACAATGATGACATTTGGTGGAGCTGGTCCCATTTCTATTTGGGAATAAGACGCAGATCTGGTTTTCTTTTTATCCACTTGATAAGTTACAGCATCCCTTTTACCCCTTCATTGATTTGTGTCTTTTTATCATGTAGGATGAGCTACTTCCAGTGCTCGGTCTAAGGGAGAAATCAAGCTCATGGTCTGAATCACCGAAGGAGATAAATTAAAACGAAATTTTAGCCAAAAACCCTTGGATCTGGGCTCCTGGGCCTGAGCACCAGACCGGTGTGATGCAGTCACAAACACTGTTTAGTATTTCTCAGGTTCAACTGATACAGAAACCAAAGGAAGCTCGAAATCACTTTTTTGTTTGGTTTATACACAAGTTGGAGGTTGGACAAACATATTCACCATCATTCAGTGCATCATTCAATGTGTTCCCAGTCCCCAGTCACTCAGGTGGGCACAGGAAGAAGAGGAATAACAGGGTGTCATATATTGAACACTTACTACATGCCATTCACTGAGCAGTTTGGTCTGTGTCTTCTGGTTTTTACTGTTGTTCAAAATAAAAGCTGATATTTCGTGGTGTGTTTATATACGCCATGCATTATTGTAAGTTTTTCTCATGTATGTTTACATCCTCTGCAATTCAAAGGATGACTGACTTCATTATCACATTCTCAAACACAGGTCTCTGACCCAAGACCATGTCATTGTCACTGGGCTATATTGTGTTTTCTCTTTTATATGTTTTAGATGAGGTAGTCATCATCGTCTCATGATGATGGCTAGTTACTCCCACCTTCTGGCTAGGAAACTAAGGTAACTAAGGTTCAAACAGGTTATATAAACAAAGCAACGTGTTTAGCTCCTGCTATTATTGGGGTTACTGTTCCTGTTACCAGAGAATCTCCAGTTCTGCACCAGTTGGGTTGCTCCCTGAAACTGTTGACTGTTTTTGGCCACTCTGGTGTTCCTACTATCTACAAAAGTTACCTGCAACAATGTCTACTGAACTAGCGAATTCCAAAATGGCGCACCCTCTGTTCCTCTGATGGGCTACATCCATGAAACAGGACTGCCCATGCAGGAAGACTCTAGGTTCTCTAGGCAGTGGTCATTGCTGCACCTGCCACATCGCTGCAAGTGTCTCCTCGCTGCACAGCCTCCAGAATTAATGTTCACTTTCTGCCATGTATCTTTCAATTTGGAAGACGTGTAAGGAAATCAATGAAATAAGACTATGCCAATGAAATAAAAACTCACCCAAGCTTTATGTATTTTAATCTTCAGAAATACTTGGAAATCACTATAATTTAATGTTCCCACCAAGGTCCAGAAAGTATGTGAATATATTTATTAAATCAAAATCAGATTTTCACACCTGGTATGCTTCTGTGAAGTCCTGAGCCACAACACATCAAAAGGAAGATGTATTACAAGAAATGAAAAATTAGGAAACATTTTATTCTCTATATAACCCAGTGTCTACTACACCTGCTCTCCAAGGGAAGATACAATTTTTGTTTATTTCTTTCATCGTTTCCTTGTGCTCTGGAGTGAGGTCAGCTCACCCCTCTCTTGGTACTGTTATGCCTGAGGTATTGTGTATGTGTGGGTGACCGGATCCTCTCTGGGCCTGTCCAGTGCCTCTTTCTGGACAGTGATCTCTTTCTACCTGCCAGGGTACTGGTCAATATTCTCAGGAAAACCTGGGAAATAATTGAGGTGCCTAAATGCCCCCATTCTAGTCTGAATAGGGGTTTCCAATGTTTTTAAAAGCTTCTTAATTGATACAATTATATTTACAGTATACACCTTGTTTTGACATATGTATACCTGTGGAATTGCTAAATCAA